TATGTGGGCACAGAGTACCCGCCGCCTCAAATTCCCCCCCCCCCCCCCCCTTGGAGCTCCCACATGCCCCGGCTCTGCCCTCAGGGTCGCACCTCACGGGCTGAGGCATACAGGACCGGAAAGTCGAGTTGGTCATCGTCGGCGCCCAGCAGGGCAAAGGTATCGAACGCGGCCGACTCCACCTCTCCACACCGCTCTGGCGTCGCCGCCGGGCGATCCACCTTGTTCAGGACCACCAGGGGGCGCAGACCCCGCTGGAGGGCCTTCTCGACCACGAACTTGGTCTGGCTCAGGGGTCCCTCCGTGGCATCCACGAGCAGCACCGCTCCGTCGACCATGCCTAGCACACTGTGTGAGTGGAGGGTGGCATGGACGATGCTGGTATTTTATGTGATAAGATGGTGGGCAGCCACCGCTTGGTGACACCGCAGGCACATCAAGAGAAAGCCATGCCCCCCATCTTCACAAGAAAATGTATATTACACCCAACACTGAAAGCTACAACATGTGGAGAGCCTTTGACACCTGCCAGGCCCAGTGGCAAGCTCACCGTTCGACTTCACCACCGAAATCGGCGTGGCCAGGGGTGTCCACAACATTCAGCGTGTAACCCTTGTGCTGGAAGGACGTGTATTTTGAAGAGATGGTGATCCCCCTGTATTATGTTTGGGAAGAGGTGAAACAGTAGCCTGGAGCTTGGAGCATGGGAAAGACATACTCTCGCGATAATTCCTTGCGAGGTCCAAGGGGTAATTGGTCAGCATAGTCCAGTACTGCAGGGCTGATCAGGCATGTTCATTCACCATGCCGCACCTCTCCTTCTCGAGGTCGTTGGAGTCCATGGCACGTTCAGAGCTGAGGGTCCCCCCCCCAGAGGTGAGGAGCTTGTCGACCAGGGTTGTCTTCCCATGGTCCACATGGGCTGCACCGGGCAAGCGGGGCGCAGAGTCAGCAAGTCACCAAGCAGGGCACCAATCCCGGATCATCAGGGCATTCTGGCTCCGGATGCCCATGATCCCCAGTGCTGCAGTTTGCAGGCCTCTGAGCCTCATATACCGACCACCACCAGCACTCCCGAGGTAGCACCCACCAATGATGGCAAAAGAGCGAATCAAGTTTGGGTCGGTTGTAGAGACTGTTGTGCTGCTGTATCTAAGATGATCTTGGCAGGGTGCGCATCCTCGAACTGAGTGGAGCTCCGTCCGCAAGCCTGTCAGCGGGGCCGTGTGCGGGGTTACTGCACGCCACAGTTGCTGCAGAGCCCTCCGCATGCCCATTGCGTGTATAGTCTACATGTAATATGTTAATCTGAACTTTAAAATCTGCAAACTGAGCCGACTGCTGAAGCACGACCGCATGCGTAATTTTCGAGTTACACGCCCAAACATGCGGTGCATGCCGTGCAGTCGGCTCCCCTCCAGAGCAGTAGTCTCTTACTGAATCTGCAGGGAGTGAAGGTAAGCAGATCATGGTATGCCTTGCTGACTCGACATGGTTGTACACCATCTTTGTGCCAACCACCCCAACACCTCCTTATACCTTGAGCAGCTCCACGTCGAAGATCTGCCGGACAAGGGTGAATTAAGAGGAAGGATCAGAATCAAAGAGGTCAGCCATGGAACCTGCATGGCGACGTGTTCCTCCTGGGGCAGGGGCGCAACACCTGCTGCAATGCACATTCATGTTAGCACGGTGTGGGCCTCACCAGGGTGGCGTTGGGGGGGATGACGCCGCCGGCACCGCGAGCTCCGTAGCCATAGTCGGGGCTGATGGTCAGCTTGGCGCGCTCGCCGATCTGCATGGTCGCCACGCCCTCGTCCCAGCCCTGTGGGTGTAGGAATGCTGGAAGGGAATGAGGTGCTGTCGGACAAGTGAGGATGCCAAGCATCTACAGCTCACCATCCTGCAAGGTTGGCCCCCAGGTGCTTGACCCTATGTGCTTGGCCTTTGATGGGACCGGAGGCAATGCCATGCCTTTGTCACTCTAGTCACGTGATCCTCCGCGTACCTTGATGACCTGGCCCACACCCAGGGTGAATGAGAAAGGCTGCCCGCGGTCACGGCTGGAGTCGAACTTGTTGCCGTTCTCCAGAGTGCCCGTGTAGTGCACTTGCACCTGATCAGATGGCGAGAGTTGTGCAAAGCGTCGGTGCACGACGGGCGTGCCGCATGTGCGTGGGCAGGATCCACTCACGAGCATCGTGCTCCCGACAGCGCGCACAGCTGCTCCCCCTCACCTTCTGACCCCGCTCGGGCTTGGCACCGCTCCCGGCTGTGATGACGTCCTTGGTGACACCCTGCGAGGCAGTTGTGGTCATGAATCCCCGACTGGCACGGACAGATCCCTGCATGGGACACTGGCTCAGGAACCGCGCGGGACGGGCAGCGAGGCGGAGGGAGCCGCCGCTCAGGAAAGCCGCACCCACCATGATTGCTTGGTTATATACTTGCAGATAGGACCGTACGAGGATCTATGTAGACCTTAGGGTGCCGGATGGTGACTTGATGGGTGGTGGGGATCCGCCGATCGATGGATTGCACTCAGGCATCCGCGCGCTCCAGACTGCAACAAATTGGGGGCACGCGACCTTGCATTGGAATGGCAGCACCCACGGCAGAGTCGAGAATCAGCAACCATACAGTCTCATTCAGGCACTCTACCTCCCTCCTTCCCGACGCCCCTCCTCCATATACACTCCCTGGTCCAGTGGTGCATGTCGGACTCTCACGCTTCGCGACCTGTGGAGAAACTCGAGGTTCCCATTGTCACCGCTCTTGGTGAGCATAGATACATAGGTGGTATTTACGCGCCCTGCTCAGCCATATGGCTTTCGATGAACACCTTCGTCTCGAATACCCTTTGCAGACAGGAGGCTCACTGTAGAAGACGGGCAGAGGTCCCTGACCAAACCTGCAATAGGCGCAGTGCCACCCAGCGCCTTGCTTTCTAGGTTGCAAGGATTCCTGCCAGAGTTGGCGGCCGCAAACTCGACCCTGCATGGCGAGCAATCTGTCAGCATGGAGGCCCCAGAGTGAGTGAGAGACCCCGAAGGATGCTTGAAAGAGAAACCTGTCCTCCTGACCTTAAGGCATGCGTTTCTTTGAGTACTACGATGATCCATCCCGTGCTGTCAAAAAGAGGAACTTTTCCACGCTCCATTGCAGGGGAGCTGACGGTCCAGTGGTCGAGCTAGATCTGGCGTGCGGGCTCTTTGACCTGAACAATCAGGCAGCAGAGCAGGCAGCTGAGCGTTCGCTCACGCATGGCCAGGTGAGGACGGGTGCGATCAGGCTTTACTCCTGGAGTAGCTTGAGATGAGTCTTAGGAGAGAATTCCTCATGCAGTTCAGCGCATTATGCAGTTTGGGTCGAGCAGAGTCGATTGGCATGCACGAGATTGTGCTTAGTGGGCAAAGTTCACCTCTATCATCTGCAGGCTACACCCAACTCAGAGGATGATTCCAGTGATGATGATGAGGAGCAGAGCAGCTCCGACGAGGAGGGTGGCGCACCCGAGCGGCAGGAGGCTGAACATGCAGCTGCGGCTGGCAGGAGTGATGGCGCAAGGAGGCGAAAGACGGTGCGAAGACCAAAGGCTGGCATCGAGGAACTGTCTTGACCTGATCTGGACACCACTGTGTACTCCGCGGGGATGTGCATGTTCTCCGCGTGTGTGTTGGGACGGGACCCCAAGCTTGGAGGGGCCAGTATGGCAAGGGAGCCCAGCCCCGATTGCATCATGTGGATAATGCCACACCCCTGGAAGCTGAAAGTGATGGGTCCCCCTGCACTACGCCACATGTCTCTCCCTGGTCCTCCACAATGAAAACGATCGCATGCGCCGGCTGGGCCAGCCAGCGGCTCAACCGCCCACATGGACATGCTCACCCAAACTCATCAGTCCTCGCGCCCCGCCGGCCGGCCGGCGGGATGGGGGCCTGCGCCGGCCACGCAGGCGCCCGGGAGGCCGAGGCCCGCCAGCCTGCTCCGCATGTAGGCTGCCTGCGCCTCGAGCCCTGCCTCCGGCCAGTCGTAGAAGGGGACGGGGAGCACCCTCCAGCCCATGGCCGTGAGCAGGCGCCGCTTCAGCGCGGTCTTGCCCAGCACGCGCCGTGACGCCCAGGGGAAGTGGGTGGGCCCGTCCACCTCCACCGCAATCAGCTCGGTGGGGATGGCGATGTCGATGGAGTACTGTCCCTCCCGCCACTCCTCCATCAGCGGCGCCAGGCCCAGTTCCTGCAGCGCGGCAAACACCTGCGGGGAGGGTGATGGGATGCAGTGCTGGGCCTGTGCAATGTCACGGGCATCCCAGTCTGCCCCTGCCGCCGAGGCGTGACCTCCTCAAGCGTCCTGAAGGGAGCGCTGTCTTCCAGCTGGTTGCGCCTGCCACCCACTGCGCAGCCGGCACCTGTTTCTGAAGCGACGATGTGTGGACAGCCCCGCGCCTGCGCTGGCCATCCCACTCCTTGGACGCCATGTTCCTCAGCCTCCCAGCCTGTGCATGGGGATTTGGTACTTCTTCTCGCTTCGCAAGGGCTTCTACAGGGTGTTGAAAACCAGTCTCAAAGGATGTGCACAGCGCCTACCTCGTACAGCCCCTGGAAGAAAGATGCAAAGTCTTCTGGTTTGCCGATGCCTGGGGAGCAGGAGGGGCAATGGGCTTCAGTAACTCCCCCCGGGGAGGAGGGGGGTGTGGGCTGGTGGATTGGCCTGTGGGAAAGCTACACGTCCACTTCCTCCATACGACATGCCAGGAGCATACCTGACGCTGAGGCAGCTTCCAGCTGGAGGGCTGCCTCCACCAGGAAGAGCTTCTGCAGGTCCTGGTGCGACAGGCGATGGGCCTGCAGAGCCAGAGCCAGCCTCCAGGCGCTGAAGAACTCGGGGGGGTACAGTCCCGCCACACAGTAGCTCCAGGCCAGGTTGATCAGGTGCTCGCAGGTCATCCCATGCACCGCCTGTATGTGTGAGAGAGGTTGGTAGGGCAGGGCGGGATGACCGTGTGCATGCAGCTGTTAGGGTGAGGAGCTCGCATGAGCATACTCCTGACCCAGCCGACGAGCTCACAGCACAACCAAAGGAAACCCTCCTTCCCACCCCCCCAACACGCACCCCCCCAACACGCACCGCTGTGCAGGCAGGGACAGCCAAACGGAAGAGCTCCTGCTCGCGCTCGCCGGAGCACCTGCCCAGTGTGGCGTACGCCCCCAGGAGGAGCGCGAGGGTGCGTGCCTCCGGCTGCCGGCGGCTGAATAGCCGGCTTGGCGCGAGCCTGGCGACGGCGTCGAAGAAGGCGGGGGCGTCAAAGGACAGCCGGGCGCAGGCCCAGCACAGCTTGCTCACCGCCTGCGAGGCATTTTTGGGCTACTGAATCAGGCATGGAGCTGGCTTGCGAAATGGAGAGGATGGAAGAGGCTACTACGCTGATCGCTCGCCCGATGCCATTCCCACCATGCCCCCCCCCCCCCCCACATGGGGCCAAATGGCATGAGCGTCCCATTATATCAACACGTGATTCCAGCCACTGACTTGCACGTCCCAGTCGCCCTCCTGCACCAGCTGGCAGGCCCGGTCCGTGATGGTCGTCAGCACATTGGGCCGGCGGTGCTGCAGCGTGGCCAGGGCCCAGGCCACGGTGGTGACCTCGTGCGTGCCCGCACCCGGCACCAGCCGGGACAGGTGCAGCAGGAGCGCGTCCAGAGCACGCTGCAGGTGCGTGTGGCAGGCCGCCCCCGGCCCCGCCACGGCCGCGTGGTGCAGGGACAGGGAGCGCAGCAGGCACGCCGCGTCGCGGGCGGACATGGCCCACGCCGGGCCGTCGTCGGGCGAGGGGGGGTGGCTCGCCAGGACCATGGCCGCGGCCCCGAAGACGCGGTGCCCGGCCAGCTGGGAGTCTGCCAGTGCCTGTGCAGGGGCGAGGGTGGGGGGGGATTGCTGTCTAGCTTGAACTGTAGGCGTCCCAGGCAGGGTCGATGCAGAGCAGGGCAGCTCTTGCGTGGGACGCAGGAGGCGTACCGGGCACCCAGATCCACACCAGCCCCCTCCGCTGTCCAGAGCCATCCCCGCGCCCACCTGCAGTAGGTTGGCCAAGCCCCGCGGACCCAGGTCCCGCAGCTGGCGGCCGTGCAGCACGTCCGCGACGTCGGACAGGATGCGGCGCGCCTGGTCGGCCTCGCCCGCCGGCCCCGGCATGCCCGCCAGCGCCCCCAGGCTCCAGGCCAGCTGAGCGAGGTCGCGCGAGGTGTGCTGCCTCAGGCCTGGCGCGCCCTTGCCCACGCCGTCCCCGGCCAGGCTCTGGAGCAGGGGCCCCAGGAAGGCGCCGGGCCGGCACTCCAGCTTGGCCAGGGACCAGACGATGAGCACTGTCTCGCGCGCACCCAGGCTGGGCACCAGCGTGGGGGCGGCTGCGCAGAGGAAGGCCAGCACGACCTGCAGCGATCCAGGGCTGAGCAGGGACTGCGAGGCCTGGGACCATAGGATCTGGGCCAGGGCGGGGCCGCTGCGTGCCATGGCATCACTGCAGGCGGCGCTGGCCTTCAGCTCCTCACACAACCGTGCCTCCAGCCTGCCAAAGTGGGGGCTGACGGCGACTCGACGCCGATGCCGCCGTGTCATCGTCTGCGGGGCAAAGGAGTGGGTCCTGCTGGAGTGGGTGGGCCCTTGGCCATGTTGGAGGGTCAGGCTGTGGAGATGTGCGCGTCAAGCGAGGGACCGGGAGCTTGCACACCGCTCGCGCTGCAGCTCTCGAGGCTGACATGCTGCAGACTCCTGCACCCTCCAACCCATTCCTTCTCCACCCAGCGCCCTTGCCCCTGCTCCCTCAGGCTCTGGCCGGTGGCACCAGCGTGCACCCCCTCACCTTGGCCAGGCGATGCAGAGCGGTGGCAATGTTGATCAAGGAGAAGTCGGCGGCATGGTCCTCCAGTACACAGAGGATGGCACTGGGACCTGTGGCTGCCACGATTTTGGCATTGATGGCCTTGGCACTGGAGACCCGGTCAGGGCCTGTGGCAGAGCCCGCTGCAGCGACCGCTTCTGTGACGGCTGTCACAAGTACAGCCAAGGTTTGAGGCAGTGGGGGACGCCATCCCACAAAGTGGGCACCGCTCTGCAAGAGTGTTTTGGGTGCACATTTTCAAACTCTCTGGAACTGGCATGTACAGGTTACAAAGAGACTCCCAAATCATGGTCAGGCTACGATCTAGGAGGACTATCCCACAATCCCAGCCACCAGCCCGTTCTATACGCTTGTCTCGTCGACAAGCACAAACCTGGCGATTCCACAGCGAGGATGATCCTTGGAGTGACCCCACCAATGGTTTGTGACATGGCTGAAGCGTGCAATGCTGACTGCCAGGGACATTTGGGAGGGCACTTGAGGTTCAAATCTATACGTAATTTGTCAACGGTCAGGAAAAAAGGCACCATGCAATGCATATCGCCGATCCACCCCCCTCATGAGTCCGCTTGCCAGGAGATGGGGGTGCATGCTGACAACTCCATGCTCCCGAGCTATTCCTCCTCCCGACCGTTGCTTAATGTATGCATGGGCAATGTGATGTAAATAACGACCAAACTTCTACGTCCCAGTCAATCGGGATCCAGGACTCGCCTTGCAGAATTGCTCAGGAAGATCGTGTGGATTTTGTCCCCCGTGCATGGCGCAGCGAGTCTTCACACTCGTATGGCAAGGCGTCTTCAGACTCCTCCCTACCGATCACAGATTGGTAGTCTGCACCACTTGAGAGGTACATATATAATCCTCGTATTTGGGCATGTAGTCCAACTCGCTCAAGGACACGGGCTTCAAACCCTGAAGGACCCGGAGCGCAACACCTCGTCGGGGACAGTGCAGCGCGGGTTTTTCCATTGCAGTCGGGATGGCTCCCTGCTAAGACCTGCGCATTGGCACTCGTACAAGGATGACGGAGCCGCAGCCGTTCTGGCACGGCCTGGCCGCAGGGGCCTGCGCCACTATGACGTCCAGAGTCTTGACATGTGAGTCTGCTGCTCACCACAACATGCTGGTGAGATGGAAGGTGTAGTGATGAGAGGACATGAGCACACATCGCCTCAGCCGGCCTCACTACCTCCGCCTTCCACAGATCCCCCAGACACGATCAAGGCTCGGCTGCAGGTGCAGGGTGCAGGGCACCTCCCCAAAACCAACCCGCTGAACACCTTCCAGATGATCAGCCAGGTGGGACACCCTTTCATTGGGATAGTGCAGCGCTACACTGGGATGCCAAGGTTGGAATTTCAACGGCCCTTGAGACCTGCCAGGAGCCGTCTGCTTGTGCCTGCTTTGCTGTGTCCAGCCCGCCGATGCTTGCTGGATAGAGGGGTAAAGCCGCCTTTCCTGCCCAATGCACCAGCTCCTCAACACCCCTCGCTCCCATCCCCTCATACCTCCCTGCCAGGTCTTCCGGACAGAGGGCGTGCGGGGGTTTTATCGTGGGTTCGGGGGCATCATGCTCACCGTCATCCCCGCCAACATGTGCTACTTCAGCGGCTACGAGCTGGGCAAGCGCATCACACCCCCAGGCCTGGGGGTGCTCTCTGACGTGGCCACGGCAGCCATTGCACAGGGCGTGGCGGGCATCGTGTACTGCCCCATCGACATCGTGAAGCAGCGCGTGCAGACCGCCGCGGTCATGGAGGCGGGGGCCACCCACCGTCAGTTTGGGGTGCTGGACGCGGCCCGCCAGATATGGGCTGGCCAGGGCGTCAAGGGTATGGCGCAGGGATTGGGTTGGCGATTGGTGTGGGAAGAGTGAGCTTTGAAGGCATGCGTGCACAGTCAGGCAAAGCTAAAAAACGAATGCGATGCTGCGTCGCTCTGCGGCAGGGTGGACCTGGCCTGTGTGGGCAGGGGGCGTTGCAGGAGCCTGCGACCACCCTGGGAACCCCGTGTCTAATACTACCTGTCACCAGTATTCTCTCCCCTCCTGGTCTTCTCATCACTACAACATTCCCGGAGCATCCCACATGCACCCGCCCAATCCAACCTCTCCAACAAGCCCCACCCACCCAGGATTCTTCCGGGGATACCTGACCATGAACGCGCTGTGGATGCCCTGGAACCTCATCTACATCCCCGCCTACGAGGCCTGCAAGCGACGGTGGTATTATCACGCTCTGGAGAAACAGCGCACTGCGGCCAGCAGTGGTGGTGCACTGCGGGCCCCCGCCGCCGGCGCGCCAGCCGGCGACTGCCAGCCCGGCATTGCCGCCGAGACCGACCCCCCGCTGCAGCAGCTGCTCCCCATCTGGGCCTTCCCCCTGTGCTCCTCGGTCTGCGCGGCCACGGCGGCCATCTGCACCCACCCCATCGACGTCGTGAAGACGCGGCTCCAGGTGCTGTCGGCAGCCGACCCGAGCGTCAGGCGGGGCGCCTTCCAGATCGCGGGCCAGCTGCTGAGGCAGGAAGGTCTGCGTGGTTTTAAGAGGGGCCTCGGCCCAAGGGTGGTCACCATGGCAGCTGGCAGCTCCGTCTCCTGGTTTGGGTACGAGCTGGTCAAGCGGAGGCTTTTGGAGTGGGAGCGAGATCAATGACTGGAAGCCGCAAGCTCACACAGGCATGCTCCTGTCTTGCCCCGCCTGCTGCCTGCAGAGCGGGGCGCGCTCTTATGATGCACACCGATTCCTGTACCTGCTTGCTGTCGCTGTTCCTTTTGCCATCCCTTCTTGAATTCCTGCTTGAATGCATCCTACATGCCGAAATCAGTTCCCGCATCACCACGCTAAAAATGCATCTCTGGCAAGTGCCGTGAGCTTTCGTGGCAGTCTAGACACCGTGTCACATGGGCAAGAGGGAGAAAGGTGATCGCAGCAACCCTCCAGATGCGGCGTCAAACAAGAGGTCAGGACTTGAAGTTGTACATGCCCAGTGCACAGGCTTCACCAGGGGATGCAAAAAAGTGCTTGCCGGCGCCCTCTGGCTCATTATCAACACGCTCACATCAGACATCCTTGCGGGGACCCAGGATCATGTTCATGGTGCGGCCCTGCATGCTCGGGGGCGATTCCACGACGATGGCCGACCCCAGGTCCTCGATGATGCGCTGCATAGGTATGGGTGTCGAGAGCACGTGGTAAAGGATCTGGAGTGGCACCTTGAGCACTCCGGCAGAGTAGTTGTGGTATGCCAGAGGCACAGGATGCACCACCCCAATCCCTCCTGGCTGTTCGCTGTGCCAGTCCTGCTTGCGAGCTCACCTTGCACATCTCGTGGCCCTGGTCTATTAGGTCCATCTCGCGCCCGCGGAACTGCAGCGACACCTTGACCTTGTTGGACTTGGACACAAACCTCTGCGCGGCTCGCAGCTTGGTCTGGTAATCATGCACGTCCGTGCCAGGCCGGAACTTGAGTTCCTTTGTCTCCGTACTGCAGTCGATGTGGGGGCGGACGTCAGCGGGGAGTGGCAGATGTCAAAGCGAGAAACTCGGGCTGCAGCATCAGCCTGTACAAGCAGGAACCCTCAACCAACAGGCGATACTAAGCACGCCATCTCACATGTTTTCACGCTGCTTCTTCTTCGCATCCTTGGCCGCCTTGCTTAGCTCATAGTTGTACTTGCTGATGTCCATGAGCCTGTATCGGTGATAAGGATACTCAACACAAATGGACTGGCATGCTGTACCTAGAGCAAAAGGCTCTCACCTGTTAATGCCTAAATACAAGCTCCAGGTTTCGCCGGCAGCAAGATCTATCCCCAGCCCTTGCAATGCCTCCTGCGTGCCTGCAGACAGGCGGTGATGCGTCGGGGACTACCAAGATGAGGTCCACCTCCCGCTCCTGCGCCATGGCCAGAGCCTCAAACGTCTGGAACACACCCAGAGTCTCCCGGTCTTCATCGATGACTCGCACCTCTCGTTCCCTGCGGAGGTGATGGCACGGCATTTATGGCAGGGGCATCAAGTCGATTCAAGAGTCTGGCATTCCTCTGAGAAAGCCTCCAAGGCTCACACCATCATACGATTGTGAAGCAATACACCCACCGACTTGAAAATCAAGAGCACCTTATCTGGTCGTTCACTAAGACACCAGGTGTGCTCTGTCTCCTGTCTCTGAAGGATGGACCTCCAGATCGCATCTGACTCGGGGGACGGGGTGGTCTGTACGAGGAGTTTGCCCCCGCCATGGCGATCGTGAGGCCTCGGGTGGCCCATGACGTCCTTGGCTGTGCAGGGCCCTGCGGACATGAGGCGCTGTTGCTGGCTACCTGCGAATATCGGCGTCCAAGGGTATGCATAAAATGACAATTATACCACCGGGTAGCTCGAGCCAGCGTGCACCTGCAGGCCACCGGCTTGCCTTGAGATGGGCTGGAGCGACAAAAGGTCGATAAGCACCCCGAGGAACTGTCCCTGCTGCATCCGTGCTCGCCAAGATCGACATTTTCACAAGAATCAAATTCTCTATCCTGTCATGCTGCCCATTTAGAGAACATTGACGGTTACTGACATGCCTCGGATTGATTGGCAAGATCGATCATCAAGGGTGCATGGCTGTGCTTCCCGCCACGCGCTTCGACACTCTCTGCACTCCCCGGGCGCCAGAGGAGCGATAAACCGGGCGGCGCCAGGAGCCGAATACAGGACGACAGACGCTCTGGAAAACTGTAGGCGGTATTGTATCGAAGGTTTGGTATAATAGTCTTCTGGGCAGCGGCTGCCACTCACCGCGCCGACGCGCGTTTCGGCGCCCCCGGCAACATGCCGGTGTACAACTTCAAGAGCATGGGCGTGGTGCCCACTGCGAAAGACCTAGTGGATATCGTGCTTTCAAAGACACAGCGCCAGACCCCGACTGTCGTGCACAATGGTAGGGACGGCGGGGTGGCGGTAGTGCCACGAGGTGCAGGTGTCCTGCCTGCTTGGAGGCGACTTTCTCAGTTGGAGTGTGGGGCTTGCCTTTAACACTTGCATAGTGGAGTCTGATGGCCTCCATCCCTCCTGTGCACAGGCTGGGCTATCCAGAGAATCCGGCAGTTCTACATGAGGAAGGTGAAACACACACAGACCACCTGGCACGAGAAGTTATCGACCATCCTCGAAGATTTCCCAAAGGTGCCCCATGGGTTTGGCTGTGTCCTGAAACAGTGCAGCATGCATGCACCGTGTGAGCCGGGTGGGGCTGGCCCGGCGCGTGCATGCACATGCATGCACCTGCCCCGTGCGGCCACTCTGTGAGCTCACTCCCCGTCCCCACGCCAACCAGGTGGACGATATACACCCCTTCTACTCCGACCTCCTCAACGTCCTCTACGACAAGGTGACTTTTCCGTTAGCGACTGCGTACGTCCTCAGAGCTGAGGGTTCAAGCACCCATTTTCAGAGCTCGTCCCCTCCCAACCACTGCGTACGCCCCGTCCGATGAACTGCTGACTTTTGCCCAAACCCATGGTGACCCGTCACCCACTCATCATTTTGAGCGCAGGATCACTACAAATTGGCCCTCGGCCAGCTCAATGCGGCACGGGGAATGATCGACAAGGTTTCCCAGGTCCGCAGCAGCAGAGGCAATGTGTTCTGGGGCGGCTTACTCAGGACTCCCTCGCCACATGAGGAGGCCCTGTCATACAAGCTTGGGCACGACTCACAAGTCTTGTCCCCACTCCCTCCTTTCCCGGCAGGACTACGTGCGCCTCTTGAAGTACGGCGACTCCCTCTATCGGTGCAAGGCGCTGAAGCGTGCTGCGCTGGTGCGAGAGCATGTTGCGGCTCATGCACGCTGAGTGCTAGACCCTTTAGTGCAAGGCCTTGAGCTTGGGGAGGTCAGGGCCCGTGTCCGGCATGTGCAGCAAAGTATTGCATGGAGTGGTGGATGCCGCCTGACTCAGGCCCTCCCTTCCCTCCCCAGGGTCGCATGTGCACCATCATGAAGCGGCAGGGTCCCTCTTTGGCATACCTGGAGCAGGTGCGTTCTGGCTCGCATTGCTGGGTGGGGAGTGCGGAACGCCTGCATGCCTGAGCTTGAGTGATGCTTCATGCACCGCAGCAGTACCTCTGTCGCATGCACACGTGTCCCCACCTGAGGTACTCTGTCATCCAGGTCCGCCAACACATGGGCCGCTTGCCCTCCATCGACCCCAACACACGCTCCCTCCTGGTCTGCGGCTACCCCAACGTGGGCAAGTCCTCCTTCATGAACAAGGGTGAGCTGGCGCTGGGCTTTGGGGACACACCCGGTCCACTCGAGCGGGGTACACCTGCCGAGGGGTAGGGAGGGTGGGGTTCGCAAGCTGCGCCGTCCATGCCGCAGGAGCCCCACTCTTGAGCACCTGCTTGGTTTCGAGCCCTTTGCGCAAGTCCCGGACCGGACTCACACGCCAGGCAACCGCAGCCTGATGAGTTGTAGGTGCCACACTCCCACCCATCCATTCAGTGAACGACCTCCCTCTCCCCTGGCCCCCTGGCCCTCGCAGTCACACGTGCCGACGTGGAGGTGCAGCCGTACGCCTTCACCACCAAGAGCCTGTTCGTCGGGCACACCGACTACAAGTACCTGCGCTGGCAGGTGATCGACACGCCCGGCATCCTGGACCGCCCGCTGGAGGAGCGGAACACCATCGAGATGCAGGTGCGCAGGGGAGGGCTGCCGAGGGTGGGGACCCTTGGCCGTATACCTGTTAGTGGGCCTTTTGGGGGAATGTCCTGCCCCCTGCCATCTCCCTGCCTGCTCCCTTTGCACCCCTGGTCCCAGGCACTCTGTTCACCATGCCCTGGCGCAAACCACCCCCTTGCCCGCCTACCCCTGCCACTGGCTGATCTTTTTTGCTTGGCCCCGGAGCCCCATCCACTCACCGATCACCCCACCCTCTCACCCACCTTCAACACACACACACACGCCCATGTCTAACCCCCCCTGCCTACCCATCCACCCACCCACAAACCGCCGCAGTCCATCACCGCACTGGCGCACCTGCGTGCCGCGGTGCTCTACGTCATGGACATCTCTGAGCAGTGCGGTTACACTATCAAGCAGCAGGCCGCGCTGTTCCAGTCCATCAAGCCCCTGTTTGCCAACAAGCCGGTCCTGATTGTGGCCAACAAGACGGACGTGGTGGCCCTGGCCGACCTGAGCGCCGAGGACCGTGCGCTGCTGGACGGTGTGGCCGCTGAGGCCGCCAAAGTGTCGGCGGGGGGGTTCGAGGGTGACAAGCCCGGGTCCAACCTCATCGCCATGAGCACGCTGACCGAGGAGGGCGTGAGCGTGGTCAAGCAGATTGCCTGCGACCGCCTGCTGGCCAGCCGCGTGGAGATCAAGCTGAAGGTGGGTAGGGATGTGTGTAATTTCCGACGG